AGTGTAACAGAGTTGTTGTTGTCATTGTTGTTGTTGTTGTTGTTGTTGTGGGGCTTAATGCCATTTTTCAGCACACAATATGCTATACATGGCAGCCAGTATTAATGGTGGAGGAGGAAACCGGGAAATCCTCGGAAAGAACCACCAACCCACGAGAAGTTACTGGCAAGCTTTCTCACATATCTGTATTCACAGAACCTTAGACTTGAACCCATGCAAACAAAGGTGAGATGGCAGTGATCCCTAATGGAGAGCACCACTCAGGGTCCCCAGTGTAAGAGAGAGGAGTAACATTTCCAGTGTTGTTGGCAAAGGCATCATGATAATTTTTGTGCATGTTAAGAAGTTTCTCAGAGACAGCATTATGTATAGTCATAAAATTTGATGGGTATATTTATTACTGAAGGTACTGATCATCACAGATGAAAGAAAGTTGTAAACAAAATGAGGTCGCAATGACCTTACTGTCAGGCTCCAGCTAGCAATTACATTAAGATTTTTGCATTGAGCTCATTTTCTGATCATGAAACTTGATGTGCTAATTCATCATGCAGGGAATAGCTTATCACATATAAAAGTAGGTCTTATTGACCTATTTTTTATTGTCAAGTGATTATGTTAAGTCTCTGCATGTAGCTCAGTTTTTCTGACACTATATGTATAGTCCTGAAACTTTATTGGTTTATCCATCTTGAAAGGTACTACTCAACACAAGTAAATGGAGGTTGTAGTTACCAACTTCTCATACTACAGTGATTTTTTTAAATTAATTTTTGTGTGAGCAACTGTATGAAAATCTTGCATAAAGCAACACAAAGTTTGTGAGACACCATCTTCTGCCAGAACCATTATTACAATGAAAGTGTTGTTGCTCCATCAATTGACAAGGTTGCAATTTCATTTGATTCTATAATTTAGTTTCAAAATACCACTCTAGTAGTTCCACCCATTAAACATACTTTATACTTGAACAGTTTAAATACATAGTAACATGTTATTTCATAGCTGTTGAATACAGGGTTTATCATAAGCATTTATAAGTCCTTGTTAAAATACTGTGCTGACGCACAGCACAGCTTGTTGCTATTTTAAGGAGTTGGCAATCTTGTCTCTGGGCAGTCTTATAATTCAGTGGGGATTTTATATTTATAGTCATGATGCAGTTTACCAACTTTCCTCATGACTGCTGGAATATCTAAGCTTGAATTCCATTAATGGATTCATTTCAAAGCTCAAACTTCTAGGAGTTATAAGGAAAGGTGTTGTATATCTATATACCAAATATATTGATTTAATAGATAAGTTTAGCACAGTCAAAATATAGATTGATTTTGTATTATACCATACCATAAATTTCATTATTTTTACTACACCAGTATATATAAACCTGCTTTCAAGTCATCTAGTTTTGATATATTCATAATCTTTACAACAACTTCACTAAAGAGATCACCTGTCCCATGTCTTTTAGATCATGCATTGTCAGGTTTTTACCTGTCTTTATCATGTTCGGTACATACCTGATAATTATATTCCATCTACATGTATTTAGAATTATGATTCTGTTAGGTACATACCCAACATCTTCCATCTGTTCAGTGGGTAAATTGTGCCTTTAAATTTATACTATATTGGATATAGGTTATAATTTATAAATCTGTCATTTATAACTTTTTATGAAATTTATGCAGATGGTTTTAGTTGGCAAGATTTTTGGATAACGATTATGGGAAGAATTGATTGCCACACCCCCAATGACATGTATATTACAGTATTTAATCTTCTTTTTCTCACACACACACATACACACAACTATAAAGAACTATCTATACCACAATACCAGTGTATATTAATCTGCAAAGTACAGGCTGAAATATGCTGTTACATGACATATAGACAGATCCCATAACTAACAGTGTATACTGATCTGGTATTGTGTGACGGCAGATCTGTAGTTTTATACTTACCACAGCTGGGTGCACATTATACATATTTATCTTAGGATAAAACCATGTTTGATAGTAAGCCCACCCACTCAACATTTTTGCAGATTTTGTCAAATATTTGCTTAGGATATCTTTAGCAAAAAGTCTACTCTACATTTTGAAAAAGGCTAGCAATCTGTTTCTCTCAGAGAAATGCTGCACACCGATGATTATGATAAATATTGGCATCTGCTAATGGACTATAAGAAAATATTGTCAAAATTTTAAACAACTTTCATTTGGATACACATGGTGCATCATATATACTATTAATATTGTAATTTATAACCAGTAATGGTCTCACCATTGTCAAACTTTGAATAGGTACATTAATAAGTTGTGTTTGCTGGAGCAAAACAGCTCTCTCCAATGATAATAGACCTGTGTTTAAGTGATTATCACCAGTGCCAGATTAAACAAGTGCTTGACCTGTAGTATATGTTATAAAGGGGCTCTAAATTTTAAAAAGACACATAAATATTAAAAGACAAGAATTTTTAACTTGCATGGTAAAGAAATTGTATTTTTTTCATTTGCTATAAAGCCAGATAATATGACAATTGTCTGACATTCAATTCATAGTATTATTTACATGTAGGTAACTGATAGCTTGGAAACATTTAGCATGGAGCCCTCAAAGAACCCATAGCATATGCTACTTTTGCTACTCAAATAATAATCAGGCCCTGATTATCACATAAGTGTTCACCTGGTCAAAGCACACCTTTATAAATCAGTCATCTTACTTCAGTCCACATTGTATAGTCTAAGGCTCAGTTAATGTGGGTATGTGAGAAAGATTGTCAGTAGCTTCCAATGGTTGAGTGGTTCTTTTGGACCTTTCCAGGTTCTTTACCATACATACTGGCTGCCCCAAGAAACAACAACAACAACAATGCCAACATATCCAGGTGTTCATAAATATAGTTTGTCTTTTATTTGTTCATCTGACTTTATCCAATTATATCCAAGTATTCATACATGTAGTTTGCCTTAGATATTTCACTTGGCTTGTATTCAGGTGTTCATACATGTACATGTATTTTGCCCTAGATTTTTTTCACTTTGCTTGTATTCAAGTGTTCATAATGTATTTTGCCTTTTAATATTACACAATCTTTTTTTCAGATCTTGATAGATCTTTTGTTTCTGAAACTATTATCTGCAGTGCAACTTTTTGGAATAATTAGTTTTATTGCTTTGGTTATAATTAGATGAATAGATGAACATGAAGCATATTGGATTACTCAAAGTGATCTGGACTCCACAAAACAAAGTGCTGTGCTAAAATGGGGATAATTTTACATCAAAGTATTAAAGTAATTAATCAGTTATGGGCTTTACTTCTGCCAACATTGTGTTTCACAGCTCAATAAAACAATGTATTGAGCTTGGCAAATGCCTGTAGTACAATATCACCCTAATGCTACAATTGTTCATATATAACTGGTGCAGACCATAGGATATTGTGACCTTGTTTTGGCCTTCATATGGAACAAATTGTGCAGAGCTTTAAAATGGTATCAGGACATCTCCTCCCCCTGGACATTCCCCCCAACACCCCCTTCCCCTTCCCCGATATGTCCCCCTGGACATTTCCCCACCGGACTTTCCCCCCCCCATCAGATAGGACATTTTACCCCCCCACTCATTTCCTCCCCAAACAAGACCATTAGTGCACAGGTATAACTGTTGTCACCTAAAATAAATGTATTATTAAATGTAAAATATCTACTCTTTCTCTCTCTCTCTCTCTCTCTCTCTCTCTCTCTCTCTCTCTCTCTCTCTCTCTCTCTCTCTCTCTCTCTCTCTCTCTCTCTCTCTCTCTAACAAACACACACACACACAATCATGGATCTTAAGGGTAGTTTGACACTACATTTAAACTGTGAACATAAATTCACACCCATTTTTTAAACATTGTTAGTCATAACAAAAATGGGCATTGTCTATTTGTCAATTGATTGCTAGTGCTTTTACTAAATGTAGAACAGGAAGTTTCTTTGAAGTATGTTGATGAGGCTTGAGTTTAACCTTTATTTATAGTGCATTTTTGGTATATTTAAGATAAAGGACAAATGGATTAGCCATCATTAAATTGATTGTAGTTGTTTCAGTACAGTACTCAGGCCAGATGTTGACATAAGCAGATTATGATGTAACAACCAAAGAAGAAGTACAAAGACTGTTCTTGGATAATTGCAAACATTGTCACTGACTTTGACTATCATGACATCATAGAATACTTAAAAGCAATTGCTTACAACATTAACATTTAAACAATACATTTTTAATTTGTGAAAATGTTAACTTTATTTAACACTACTGAGATTTATTTCAAATAACCTTTTTCTTTTAACATAATATAAGTTTTTATATTTTATTGGCAAAATTTCATATTAAATGTATTAAGTTTTAAGATCATGGGGGGACAAATGACTGGGGGGTAGTCCTGGGGTGAAATGTGTGGGAAAAGAAAATGTCTTTTAAAATGCATTATAGGCTCTAATTTCATTACATATATTTATTACATAATTTTGTCCCTCAATTTCATTGCACATTTATTACATAATTTTGTTTCACAATTTCATTACCTATAAATTACATAATTTTGTCCCTCAATTTCATTACATGTTTATTATATAACTAAATTTCATCATACATTTATTACATACTTTTGTCTCTCAGTTCCATTTCAGAGTTTCAGTATGAATATGTTGCAACTCAATCCATGTAAATTTAGAGCAAACTTGACCTCAAAGTTGCAAATGAAGGCAAACCAGATGGGTAACTTTCTTTCCTCTGAACACAACACAAATGCCATTTCAGCCAAGTGAGCAATCGTGGGCCCACTTGGTCCTCTTTATATTAATATTTTGTAGCTAATTCATGCTTCTGCTATTGTCATGATATTTATTATTTGAAAAAGGTATTAAATTCTGAGTTTTTGTTTTCCAAAGCTGAAGCCATACAAAAGTTTGGTTGTAGGTCTGACATATTTTTAAATCCAGGTTTGACTGCGCCATTAGCCTAGTGGTTAAAGCATTTGCCTTGGATGCAGGAGGTTGTGGGTTCGAACCATGGCTGAGTCTTGCTAAAAACTTTTAAAAATGTACTAACAGCTGCCTTGCTTGTTGCTTGGCATTAAGAGGTTAAGTGTTAGGACTGGTTAGCCAGATGTCAGGATAATGTGACTGGATGGGAAATGATGCTACATGTCCCAGTGATAGACATCATTATAAACTGCCACACTGCAGACATCATAGCATTGTGACTGTAAAATTGTTAAAGCTATGTTAAAAATCCAAATCACACACTTACACACACACACACACACACACACACACACACACACACACACACACACACACACACACACACACAGACATGCTTGTAAATCAGGTCCAACTGCAAGAAAAACAGACCCGTATCTGCCATCACATAATACACCAGCAGGTAAGGGTATCTATAGTTTCTTCTACTGATTAGTCCTAACAACCTGCATACACCCAGATCTCACAGGAAATAATACAGCCATAGATTTGTTCCATGAAGTATGCCATTGGATCTGACCTCACTTATAAGACAAGTCCAACTACAAAATGTCCATACTCAGATCTGCAGCTGCATAATGTGCCAGCAGATCTGGTTCTGTGCAGTTTATCAGGAGTAATTTGTAGAATAGTCCCATTGACACTGATATGCAGGTGCATTATGCCTCAGTGGATCTGGATCTTTGTTGTTTGTAGTTTGATTTGTCTTATTAGTGAGTATATACAGTATATATAGGGAATGGTATGTGTTTAATCATGAAGATCAATATAGGTGTTAACAAATCTTGGTAAGGGGTAACAATGAGACCTAAGAATATAAATCACCAGAACAAACCATCCTACCAGTCATTTTCAACCATGTTTGTGCCACAACACAGCAAACTGAAAATATGTGAAACACTTTTCATCTAGAACTAGAACTGTAATCTCCAGATACTATTTTATACCATAAAATGATATCCAAGACCTCTAAAGAATTAAATTGAAACCTGCTATGGTGGTCACTTCCATATGCTCATAAAAGATGCAATTTATGAACCTGTAATATTTTTATTTAAATTTTTAACTTCTATGAATGGGATACTTAGCCAAATAAAATAAATATTGGGGGGGGTGAGTATCATGTAGATTCAGGTTTCACTGTACATGTATAGGCTTATATATGCAAATATCATGACATTTAGTATACAAACAACCAGGAGGGCAATTTGATGTACAGAATAATAACTGAACATGTAAGGTACCTGTATTCCTTCACCTTAAGGTATCTCATTGTTAGGTCTCTTTTATAAGGCAGGTATGGTCACACATCTAATTTCATTATTTTAACAGTAATATTATGTATAAATAGTAGATACTCAACCAACATAATGTCAGTGGAAAAAGTAAAATTAAAATTTGACCTTACTTAAAAAATAGCAATTTATATTTCAGTATTAATTCTTATGTCTTCATTTCATTTTTTTGTGTTCCATAAAAAGCAGTGATTCTTGTCATTATTTTTATTTTAAAATAATTGGAAACATTGTAAAAAAAATTAACAAATGAGTAAAATTTAATAATAATAATAATAATAATAATAATAATAATAATAATAATAATAATAATAATAATAATAATAATAATAATAATAATAACAACAACAATACTGTGTGGTTATTATGGACATCCTGTGCATAATCATTCTATACTGGCAAAAGAATCGAAGGTCATTGTCATCTGTGTCCAAACTATCCAAATCCCAAAAATTTACACTTGTGTTTTATCATTTTCATTTTAAAGAGACCCAGAAACCCAAATTCAAATGATCATATACAAATACTTATGAATAGCAGCATAGTTTTAAATTTTTCTGTAATTTCAAAATTAAATCAAAAGATTTAATTAGACACCATTTATTCTGGCAAACAGTATGTTCTTGAATAAAATGCTATAATGATCATTTTCTTTCTTTATTACATCTTAAATGTTGAGGGCGATTGCCATTTAAATGTCTAGTGTTAATTCTCAGTAGTATGAAAATACATGCTACAAAATAATTTAATCAGTTCTGTCTCATCATAAATTTTTCTTGATAACACAATTTCTTGTATAAGTCAATTATAATCATGGATCCCACTTCATTATATAGTGATACAGCTATATGTAAAATGTATTTCATTCCAAGGTAAACCCAGCTCTAAAGTGTAATACTCAATCACAAATACAGCATTATAGTGATAGAGTACTTAGGGATACCACTACAGTGATGGATTACTCATTGATTGCATTATATTAAGAGAATGTTTATACACTATATGTATACAATGATTAAGTGACAGATGATATGATAATGGGCAAACAGGACAACTCATACCATACCTTTTCATGTAAAATTCACACCCAAATGTGTATTGTGGAGATTTTGATATGGTGTAACCTGCTATGCCAATAGATCAAGGTCAATGCAGTTTATTCTACATATATCTACCAAGCAGCATAGACCCAGATCATTATGTAGCACAATATCTGTTTTTACATTGGTCACAATTGGGTGCAGATTATATATTGGTAAATATGATCCATCACAGCAGATCTATTAAAGTTAGCCATGAAAGTGTACTGTGTTACATTCAATGTAGCCATAAATGGGTAATGTGTTACATTCAATGCAGCCATAAAAATGTACTGTGTTACATTCATTGTAGCAAGTGTATTATGTTACATTCAATGTAGCCATTTAAGTGTACTGTTAGAGTCATTGTAACCATACAAGTGTACTGGCACATTCAATATAGCCATATAAGTGTCCTGTGTTACACTCAATGTAGCCCTAAAAGTGTACTGTGTTTAGTCATAAAGTGTTCTATATTCTGTTCAAGGTAGCAATACAAGTATCCTGTGTTGTATTCAAGGTTAAAAGGTCTACTGTGTTTTATGTGATGTTATCTTATACACAGGTGCTTGATATAGTGATCCCTCATTATCACACTACTCAAGAAAATGATGTAAATATACCAGGTGATATATGAGGTTGCTTTATACTGGAGTACATAATACATAGTATTACTATGCATAATGTGATGGCTTGTCAGTAGCTTCCCATGGTTCAGTAGTTCTTCCAGGGGTTTTCATGTTCTTCCTCCACCGATATACTGGGCACCATGTATAGCCTATCATGTGCTGACAAGTAGTGTTAAACCCATAACAACAACATTATGTAAAATTGGATCTAGTATAGCTCCTACCTTACAAAATTTACAGTGTTTATGGGGTGCTCTACATATATTATCAACTTCTGAGTGAGTGTTTGGTGTAAGGTAAAGATCTCTACATTTGCAACATTGACAGTGGAGAGAATGTTGGTAATCCTCTATGTTTCTTTCAGGTACTGTCTGAAATTTCATTGGATATTGTACCTGTAAAAGTGTTAAATAATCAAGCACTTAGCTTCTGAAAGCTTAATCAATGAATTACCAAATAAGTAAAATGTAAAAAAAAATGTTGTTGGCTCTTTATTGCAAAATTTACCTCAGAAGTCCAGGAAGTGAAAATGACAATTGGAGCTAACAATGTGCATATTTGAAAAAAGGCCATGCTGTATACTCTATAACCCAAATTACACACATAAATTTTACACCAAAGTAAAGGAAATTAGATGTTCTTTGAACAATACCTAAGATATACAAAGTGGTCCTTTTTAAATAACCAGTGAAGAAAACCTTGGGAATTTGTTTTCTTTAGATGTCTAATCTTATGCAAAATATGAAACTGGTAATCTGCACCATAAAACAAATATGAAAATTTTTGTAATTTTTTTTCTTATTTTGATATCCTTATGTAAAATGTTGTGATCAAAATGGTATATTAACATTAATTATATGTATGAAAATAGCTGATTATGATTATTTTTTTCATGCTTACACAATATGCCTTAAGATATTATTGTGTGTGTAATGACCTTGTTTATGGGGAAATTAAAAGTGTTACAATACAGTAGTAAAGACAAATTAAATTTAAAACTGTTGCATTAATTGAAAGAAAAATATAGTTAAAATATTTCTTTTCATTTATTTGTACTGAAGATAAGAAATAAATGCTGCCAAAGCACATTTACTTTCTTTCATATTAAACAATAAGCAATATATGAAATTTTAACCTTCACCTTTGACCTCCATGAACCTGATCTGTTCCATATATTTTCTAATTATAAAATATATCAGTAACATCTAAGGAATAATTACAGCAAGTTTCATGTTTCTGTCTTTCGTCATGGTATTGGTTGCTATTTAAAAATTTGTACTGTGCATTTTTAAAATAGTTCACTTTTCCTCATTTGTGGTGGGGGGAGGCTGGGTTTGTGTGGGACTCTGACACAATAAATACTGTTCTTTAATGGGAAAGGCAGGAGAATTAACAAATGGACTGTTTTAATACTTGAAACTGAAATGTTTCAGTCAAGCAGCCAAAAATAAATCACAGAATAATAATATGTGTTCTTTATTGAAGCACTGTAGAGATACATGTACATTATTATGAGAGTGGTGGGTGTAAGGTGAAATTGTTCACATTTACAACGTGCACAATGGGAAGAATGTTGGTATACTTCTGTTACTTTCATGTACATTGGCTGAAATTTAATCAGATATTGTACTTGTGGAAATTGTAAATGATCTAAGCACACAGCTAACTAAAATGTCTGCTCCCTTGTGCTAAAAAAATTATCCAGATGAATTAGTCTAGTGTATATTATGTTTAGCAGTTATTAAAAGCAGTCATTAAAATAGGAAAAATAAATTTTGATAGACTAGACAATACCAGCTTCTGAAAGTGCAATGAATTAATTATATATAATTATTATAATGAAATATTATATAATTATATAAATATATCAAACATAAAAAAAATTATTGGTGTTTTTTTGTACAATTTATGTCAGAAGTCCAGAAAGTGAAAATGACAAAGTAGAGCAGGCAGTTTTTGGAGAAATGCACATTTGAAGTAAGGCCAAGCTGTGTAATCTGTAACTCATAGTACACCCATCAATCATACACCAAAAT